TTAAACTCTTACTCCGCTTTAGTATAGCACCTTATTTAGAAAAAGAGAATCAAAGAAGAATTTCAATATAGATTTATAATCCCCTGTGCATTATCTTATACCATTCATGACTATTATTTTTTTGTCATTACACCAATACTGTCTTATTTCCTGCTGTGTTCAGCTGAATTTCAGGGTCATTCTTGAGTATATATCACAAGTGCTTTATTGCAGGAATATTTGTGTTGAAGGGAGCAGTAGCAAGCACGATGATAATATTCATGGCATCCCTTAGCTTATAATGTTCCTTGTGTGTGAGCAAGTCAGTTTTGTATTTATCCTGAAACATCACTCCAAACCATACAAAGATTAACATTTTTCATTTAAATGATATGGAATAAACCACACTGGTACAGAAGACAGGAATGGCCATTTAGTCCAGTTCTGCAGAATCTGCTCTTTGACATGTTGTTTTTTGTGAATTAGCTGCAGCGTTTAGTAAACCTCTTTGTAGATTTTAATATACACTGAGCAAAACTGTTACTTCTTTTTACATTATTTCTTTTTTATGGTTTCTCAAGCTGCTTTTTTTTCCTTATCTCTGGCATTTACATATCAGTAAAGTTGCTCTTGTTTTCATTTCTTCCTGTATTTGAGGGTGTTGTCAATAATGAAGATTATTGTTGGGAATTGCATATATTTTAATGAACTTATTATTTGTGAGCTTGTGTCCTGCCTTGTAGATTGTGTGCTCTTTGGGAGATGATTTGTTGGTACTTTGGTGTGAACATGAAAGCCTTATTTTGTTACAGTTACTAAGTAACTGTTACCACTGTAGAATATAACAACATCAATAATAATAATAAAAAATCATAATAACAAAACAAAACCCAATAACAATAATTTAATAGGAAATAAATAGGTTCAGATTCTGAGTGGGTATCAATCAGCTGATTTCCAAGACTCTGACCTGCAGCATTTTAAAAGCAAAGATTTGTCCACAGATGTCAATTTGATGGGGCTATCGCACCTTACATGAGTATATACTGATGGAGTGAAGACATATTCAAAATACTTCTGATGCACTGCAATAATAATGCTATAAATCTTATTTTTGTCATGACATAGAAATATATTTTATATTGCTTTGTTTTACACATTTAACAAATAAACTTTTAATGTATTAAAGTGGTAAAGTGAATTTCTTCAGGGGAGGCATGTCAGATGGGACCTTTTTTCTTCTTTCTCAACTCCATTCTCTTGTTTGTAATGTGGCTCATTACAATATCTCTGTCATGTACATCGCTTCATGCTAAAAATTGGGGCTTGTGCTACTTAAAGCCCTTAATACATAATTTGAGTGAAAAGTAAGTGCACGAAAATAGTGAACACAATAAGGTCAACATATGTAAATATAAAATTTGTATTTAATTTGAAAATAAATGAATACAGAAGTCTCTTGAGAAGTTGTACAATGCCATCCCAGCAAGTTCCATCAAATTTTGTATATTTATATCGTGTTGATATTGTACAGGGCTGCAAAAATTTTGTTCAATGAAACATACTGTAAGAGCAGCTCACACGTAGGCCTCCATGATGGAAGCGTGTGTGTCTGTGCTGCATTTATGAATTACCATCCTTTCACTTTTTACCCGGCAGAAAATTCTTCTGAGTGTGTAAAAGCTAAAATGCTGCTAAGACTGAAAACTTTTGGGCTTATCTGAATTTTTATGTGGTGAAAATGAACTCAAAAGCATATTGTTTGTTTCTGAAACTGGGGGGGGGGGATTCAGGAGGTCAATGTATCCCAAGGGCAACAAGACAATCTGGCAGAACTCTTGGCCTTTGAATGAAGTATATGGGAAGTTAGAAACAAGAAGGCACAACTTGGAGAGCCATATTGCAATGACATTCTCAGATTTTGAGCATGCAAGGGTCTTAGCACACCTCCGACACTCAAGGATGGTATATTATTACGCTTTGTCATCATGTCATTATTCCCACCAAATCAAGGTCATGGGTTATAAACTTCTTTCTAAAGAGTCTGCAGTTCTAAGAAGGACAAGGAAGCAGTGTGATTATCCTACTTCAGCATCTAGTTTTGCCACATGCGTGCTAAGCCACCAGGTTAGGACGAGGGTGTTGCAAACACATGCTCCGAAGTACTGCTTTCTCACTTCCTGAATAGTTTAGCCCTGAGTCAGAAACAAAGCTGTTCTTCAGAAAAGGAAAAAAAAAACCCCACACTCTGAGAGCTTTTCAGTCACTGGTATATAGAGAATACCTCTTTTATGCTCATCACAAGTGAGAAGTTACCTGCTCAAACAAGTAATCCTACAGCTTAAGTAACTTTGGCAAACCAGGAGCTGTGAATATACTGATTATAACAAACTGTGGTTTAAATCAGGATATACAGGTACAAGAGTTTGGAGCGTAGTTGAGCTGGGAAGAAAGGAGGGGTGGAGGGAAGGTGGTTTTAGATTTGGTATCATTTGTCATTATCCTAGTCTGTTTAACTGGCAATACATTAAATTATTTTCCCCAATTTGAGTCTGTTTTGCCCATGATGGTAATTGCTGTGTCATCTCCCTGTCCTTGTATCGATCCATAAGCTTCTCATTGTATTTTCTCCCGCTGTCCTGTTGAGGAGGGGGGTGAGAGAGCGTCTGGGTCAGCACCAGGCAGCTAGCCAAGGTCCACCCACCACACCTTAGTATATTGCAATTTAAATAATTGCAGATTTTATATTTCTTTCTTCAGAACCATCATACAGAATTTCTGCAAAAGGGATTAAAAACTCCCCAGGTTTTAGCACAATGAAATAACATAAGTATTTCAGTGCAATACAATGTAGACACAGCATTTAAAATACTGGATATAGCAAGAACAAGATTTTTTTCTTCTTGAAATTGATTACGAACTATACTTTCAAATAAAAAATTCATAGTGCTAGTAAAAGGTGCAGCTATAAAAGTCATTATTTGAAGGGGCCTGCAATTTAATATAAAATAAATGGGTAGGTAGTGGAAGGCCTCGCCAGTGGCCCTTCTTTATTCTCTGTGGCTCTGTGGAGAGGCCATGGGCCACACAGTGGTGCCATCCAACCAGCTGCATGAACATCCCTGTCCTCATCGTGGATTTGTTACTTGCTCAGTCTGACAGACCTGGACAAATACTCTGGAGCTAAACTAAAGTGTATAAACTACTTCTGCTCCCTTGTGTTTTGTTATCTCCACAAAACTTAGTAGCTTTAACTCAATGACACCTCCTTTCTCCTGTCCTCTAAATAGCAATGCAATTAGAAAGTTGCAGAGTGGCTGTGGGGAGTTCCATGTATTACATCAGAGGTAAATGACTTAATAAAATAATTTGATCATTTAAAAAAAACACCCTACAGCCTTATTTAAACTGACATGTGAATTTCCTGTTAGGAGAAGATGATCTTTAGGTTTGATTAGACTACAAGGAAGACATTCATAGAATCATAGAATCATAGAATCACAGAATAGTTTGGGCTGGAAGGGACCTTAAAGATCATCTCGTTCCACCCCCCCTGCCATGGGCAGGGACATCTCCCACTAGACCAGGTTGCTCAAAACCCCATCCAGCCTGGCCTTGAACACCTCCAGGGATGGCCCATGCACAGCTTCCCTGGGCAACCTGCTCCCGTGCCTCATCACCCTCAGAGTAAAGGATTTCTTCCCAGTATCTAATCTAAATCTACCCTCTTCCATTTTAACCACTCCCTGATAAAGAGTTTCTCTCCATCTTTCCTGTAGGCCCCCTTTAGGTACTGGAAGGCTGCTATAACATCTCCCCAGAGCCTTCTCTTCTTCTCCAGGCTGAACAGCCCCAACTCTCTCGGCCTGTCTTCATAGGAGAGGTGTTCCAGCCCTCTGATCGTTTTTGTGGCCCTCCTCTGGACTTCCTCCATCAGGTCCATGTTCTCTTATGTTGAGGGCTGCACAATACTCCAGGTTGGGTCTCACGAGAGTAGAGCAGAGGGGCAGAATCACCTCCCTTGACCTGCTGACCACACTTCTTTTGAAGCAGCCCAGGCTATGGTTAGCCTCCTGGGCTGTGAGTGTGCATTGCAGCCTCATGTAGAGGTTCTCATCAACCAACACCCCCAAGTCTTTCTCCTTAGGGCTGCTCTCAAGCCATTCTCTGCCCAGCCCATATTTGTACCTGGGATTGCTGTGACCCACTGCAGGACCTTGCACGTGGCCTTGTTGAACTTTACGAGGATTGAATGGGCCCACCTCTCAAGCCTGTCCAGGTCCCTCTGCATGGCATCCCTTCCCTCCAGTGTGTGGACTGCACCACTCAGCTTGGTGTTTTTGCCAAACTCGTCCCAGTACTGACTCCTGAGGAATGCCACTTGTCACTGTTCGCCACTTGGACATGGACCTATTGACCGCAACTCTTTGAGTGAAACCGTCCAGACCGTTCCTTATCCATTGAGGTGCAGCACATTGAGGTGCTGGAGCATGTCCAGAGAAGGCAATGAAGCTGGTGCGGGGTCTGGAGAACAAGTCTTATGAGGAGCGACTGAGGGAATTGGGGTTGTTTAACCTGGAGAAAAGGAGACTGAGGGGAGACCTCATTGCTCTCTACAACTACCTGAAAGGATGTTGTAGCCAGGTGGGGGTTGGTCTCTTCTCCCAAGTAACAAGCAATAGGACAAGAGGAAATGGCCTCAAGTTGCGCCAGGGGAGGTTTAGTTTGGATAATAGGAAAAATTTCTTCACTGAAAGGGTTGTCAAGCATTGGAACAGGCTGCCCAGGGAAGTGGTTGAGTCACCATCCCTGGAGGTATTTAAAAGATGTGTAGACATGGTGCTGAGGGACATGGTTTAGTTGTGGACTTGGCAGAGTTAGGTTCACGGTTGGACTTGATGATCTTAGAGGTCTTTTCCAACCGAACCGATTCTATGATTCCGTGATTCACAGGAACAGGCTGCTTCCACAGACACAGGAAAACATGCTTGCAGTCCAAAATGCATTAGGAAAACTAGTTGATGGATATGCAGGAGGAGGAGGACGAAAATATCATTCAAAGGACTGATGAAAGATACATGCCTGAGGAAGAGGAACTTCATATGTGATTGCCCAGCCACAGAAAGGGGTCAGGAGCCGAAGGAGAAGCTGAAATCTTACTTCTGAAAGACACAAACGCCACTTTGCCCCTCGGGCAGGCACACCGGCGCCCCGGCGGGGGGAC